TCGCACTAAATGTAAACTCTGCCTGATTTTTGTATTGTTTATTGAATAAAATGGTTTGATATGTCATATACTCCATCAATCTAGCTCGAAGAGCGATTAGCAGCCGGACGGGAGCTCACGATGGATTGGCTGCAAAAGTGGTGTTCGAGCGTATCCTCCATTCCCCACGCTCGTGTCGACCGCACCTCCGCGCCCGCTTGGTCACGATAACACCTATCGTGTGTAGACTGCATTTGGCTCGCGGAAGGCGGGCTGGCGATGTCACAGAGCCCGCAGGGCGCGTTTGCGATCAACCTCGTGGCGGCCCCAAAAACACCTGCATTTTAATCCGGATGCATTGGATTTTGGCTGGATCCGCTTTTTCGTCATTTTTTCGTTTTTCGCGTGCCTAGCGATGAGTTCGGGCCAAAGCGCCCCGCTACTTCACCCACACATTGGTATTGATGCACTGATTGACACAGGGGGGCAAGGCGCGAGCGGAAGCTTGCACACAGGCCGTAGGAGGCGCCATCCGGATTTAGAGACCGTCACTCTATAACCAGCCCGTTGCTAAGATTTTCGACGGTGGATATCAAATCGCCGGCAATCGTAATTTCCCGAACTTGGAAATTACCCCCGGTATTCGACGTCCGCAGGCACTCAAGTTGCTTTTGTTCGGCGTCGATAGCGTGACTTCACAGTCGGAGTATTTGAGCTACGATTCGTGCGAACCATTTGCGTATCGCGGTGACAAGTGCTGGCTCGACAATTTGCAAATCAAGTGTGGCGGTGAAAATTTGTATCAAACAACACTCAATGAGCGTCAAATGTACAAATTGTTCTGTGATGCGGAACATGATCCGTTCAATCCAACGACTGGTACGGAAGTCTCGTTCCTGGATTGGAAGACTCTGCATCGAATTGTGTATTTACCGTTGCATCGAAATCCCGTCGCCAGTGGTGATGCGGAAAAGGATGTCCGTATCGAGCCTTCCTTCGATGCCAAATTCGTTGCCCAAAACAATTTCGCCGGTAA